CTCTTTAGACTCGTTGATTCCCCAAGAATACCGAGTTTAAAGGCTCAACCAAAGTTGATTCACACAGAATTAACCAAAGTTAGAACAAAGAGTAATAAAACTCAAAATATATTAATCATCAAAACTCTCTCCCCAAGAGCCCTAAGACTTACATCCAATATTTATAAGCAAATTATAGACCTAACTAAGAAACAACCAGATTTGGAAAGAAAAAACAACGACCAAAAATGAAGAAAATATAAGACAATTTCTTAAACTGCTACTCTGTTCCGAATCTATACTACTATGGTGGACATAAACAATAAAATAATAAAATAAGAACACTACTACTATGGTGGACATAAGTAATAAAATAATAAAATAAAAATACTTATTTTCTAAAATTCAATCTATATCAGAAAGCCAGCATCTCTTGGATACTAGCTCACAAATTGAGTGCATATAATTGTAAATAATAAAAAAGAAAAAAAAGGCAAAACTTGGATTAGTTCTAATTGTGTATCGGGCTCGCAATCAAATATGTCCCCATTCAAAATAATTAAAAAAATCTGAATGGGCTGCCATTCATTTCCCATCATTTGAAAAATAAGATATATAAATATTTTTTTTTTAAATAATGTAGAGGCACTGTATAGTTCCTAACAGTCAAACAAAGACTAATTCTGCATTAATATCTGTCTCACCTTAATATCTTTCAGCTAACTGTCCTTGCAGGGAGCAGAGGGGGAGAGGAGCCAAGGCTCTCTCCTTGTCGTTTCGTACTTGCGTTCGTCTTTGTAAGTCTTCGGGTCTATTTTCAGGCCTAATTTTAATAATTCGAACCGTTCATATTTTATGATTTATTCAGTATATCATACCTGTAAAAAATCAAGTTGATCGGATATCAGAAAGCATATGTTTGGAAAACTATTTATTAAATTCTTTAAAAAATAGTTTTTAGTTCAATTTTTCGAACACATACTTTCTGATATCCGATCAACTTGATTTTTTACAGGTATGATATACTGAATAAATTATAAAATATGAATGGTTCAGATTATCAAAATTGGGCCTAAAAGTAGACCCAAAGACTTGTAAAGATGGATGCAGGCACAGGAATTACAAGGAGAGGATCCTCATTCGAGGGAGAGGGGTAGGAGGGCCTGGTCTTCCAAAATTTTGCTAAATAAACCTCTCTTTTATGTGAGTTCGGTCTTTCAATTTATTTATCTTTTTTACCCTATGTAATGTCCCCACTAAACTTAGGGTTCGTTTAGAAAATAGGTTGATTTTTTGACTTTTTAATTTTTTAATTTTTTTTGATTATTTTGGTCTGGAGCTAAAAAGCCTGATTTGAGAATGACTTTTGGCTTTTTTAACTTTTTTGTGAGAGAAAGAATATAATGATTATGGATTGGATGTGATGTTTTGTCTTATTAAATTAAAAAGCATATTTTGTTTTTTATGGCTAAAATAGTCAAAAAACCTTGGCTTTTGGCTTCCCAAAAAAGCTTGGCTTTCAGGTCTCGTTTGTTTTGGGGTATAATGGATGGGAGGGGATTAGGATGAAGGTGGAGTTAGTGTTGTGTTTGTTTGTAGAGTTGGGGAAGGAATTAGGATGGAAGAGGGGATATAGATGGAGGTTGGAAGGGGGATTGGGATGTAGGAGGTGGGGGTGGTATTAGAAAAATAGTGAAGGGATTAGAAATTTTTTTATTTTTTATATATTGGGAATTTTTTTTAAATATTAATGTTTAATCTTTTATATTTTCTTATTTATTTTATTATTTTATACAAAAATAATTTAACAATTCCTACACTAACAACTATCATCAAAATAAACACAATTTTACTTAATCTCCTCACTATTAATCCCCTCACTATGAATCTCATCTATTCTACCTCTGAAAACAAACGAGACCTCAATTTTGTATAATGATCGTCATTCAAAATCCCTCATGTGATAACTTTTGAAAAATGTAATCTGGGAATATAATTTGTTCCACTGGTGTTAAATCATATTAAAAATTAAAAAAAAAAATTGCTTAAATTCTGACAGGAAAAAGAATTTCTTATATGAATTTCTATAATTTTTTACTGAATCTTGTTAAAAAGTACTCTTAAAAGGAATGCTATGTTTTTTTTTTAAAAAAAATTATTTATTTATCTATATAGCATTCACATTATCTCATCACGATGACCTCATGTTAGCCCGAGTCAAAAACATTTTGAGAGACACACAAAATTTCAATTGGAATAATGTAAAAATAATCATATTTGTATCAAGATAGAAGTAAAATTGTGAACAATTTGTGATATGAAACACAATTTCACTTGTTTTTATTTTCACCTCTATAAAAATAATTTTTTTTGACTTATAATCATTTAATTGTAATTTATCAAAAAAAAAACAAAAAAAAAAATGCAAACGAAGCAGAGAGACACAATAATCTCACTACATAAATTTTATGAATATTTCCATAATGTAACTACATATATATCCACTTTTCTTATGTTGAATCTAGGCTAAAATTACCAAGTCTTGATTATTGGATTTAATTTCTATCAAATCTAATTGAAAATAACTCCTAATAATATCGTCGCTAAAAATAATAAATTGTGACGATTTTTTGCATGTCACTAAAAATTGATAATTAATGATTTTTTTTGTTACAATCTTTATAAATTGTTACTAAAACTTACAATTTGTGACACTTTCTATGGCAAATTTTTTAAACTATCGCTTAAAGTTAAAAATTAGTGACTTTTTTGGGATAATTTTTTTAAACTATTGCTAAAACTTATAATTAATGATGTATTTTATAATAATTTTTAAACTATAGTTAAAAATTAACAATTAATAATTTTTTTAATAATATTTGATAAAAAATCTCATTAATTTTTATAAAATTTATTGAATAATAAATTTAACTATTAAGATATATACGTAAGTTCTTTTAAACTTCAAGTTTGCTGCAGCCTTGATTGACCTTTCAAAACCATCACTTTTGTTTTGTTTTGTTTTCTTATTTTTTTAAATTGGATAAAACCAAAGAAAGGATTACAAATTTACAAACAATTGGAAAGGACCACATACAGCAAAGCTGGGGAAATGTCATCCATCCATCCATCCAAACTGTTGACCCATTGGAATTAGGTAAAGTTTGGCATGTTCAGAAAAAGTCAAAAAGTTATTCAAAAAATTAAAAAGTTAACATTATTCACCAAAAGTCAGCAATTACGGCTGCACAACTCTCAATCTTAATTTTCTCTTACAAACTAATTTTTACAATTTTTTATTACATATTTTTCCATAAAAAGTTAAAAAGTTAACCCAAACATCTATATTTTCTTCCTCAATTTTTTAATTTGAAAAGATAAAAAATACACTTATTTAAGACACTCCAAACAACCCCTTTTAATCTCCATCCGAGCTAAACAATGTGCGGCTTTATTACCTAACCGAGAGGAGTATGGGAAATTCCAAAACGTCGAAATCCACGGCACTTCGCGATAGCTTCTTGGAGCAAGTGACCAAATGGATACAACAAGACCCCTCCCTCCTGGAGAGCTTTGATCGTGGATACTGAATCAACCGCAAAATGTACTTGCATCATGTGCTTCACCACAATCAGCCACCCCCAGCAATGAATTTCTGGACAGCAGCTTTTTAGTTAAAATAATTAAAAAGTCAAATCTAATTATCATATCACTTTTTTTTTTACTTTTTACATGTTTTTTCGTAAAAAAATTATTAAAATAGCCAATTTCAAAACAAGCTCAATGTTTTATCTATACCCAAAAAATGGTACCTATGATATCAACTTCATAATCTTTTTTTATAAAATTTTACTACATAAATCATGAAGTCATAATTTGTTTAACCACAAAATATCATATCATTATCTCCCCTAATTTTAGAATGCACACTATGAACTTTATCACAAAGTAACATAATATATCAAAAATATTCATAGCGTTCATTATAAAAATTATAATTTTCTTATAATGTGTATATTTTTAAAGGTACACACAGTAAATTTTCCCCACAAATAGCTAAAAAATGTTGTAAATTCTTCACATTGTGTTAACAAATTTACTCTCATTGCCACTACCACTCAAATATTTTGTATATAAAAAAATAATAAATAAAATTGCAAAATAGCTTTCATTGAGGAGTTGGGATTCTACCGTGGCCATTTCATTTTTTTTAAGTTTATTTCATTTAAATATTATCTGTTATCGATTTTTTTTTTTCCGGCCATTTCATAACACCTCTATATATTTATAATTGATTCCCTTATTTTGAAATAACTATTAAATAATTAATGAAAACAAATATTATCTAATCTGATAATATTAAAAAAAATGATAGTTATTAACTCCAGTCAGTTAGCCTAAAATTTGGACTTTATTGCTAGGCCAAAGTCTCACCTACAATTCTCTTGGAGTCTCACCTACTAGTCTTACGTTAATATCAAAGGGACCATCCCTATCACCAAGGATCCTCTAGAGTGAAATTTTCCTAAAGTTTCCTAGAGTGCTACATTGTGTGGTTGAGATTTACTAGCAAGTCACATCAATTTTTCTGATGTAACTTGCCAGTAAATCTCAACCACACAATGTAACACTCTAGGAAACTTTAGGAAAAAATCACTCTAGAGGATCCTTGCTCCATCCCTATCTGTTTCCTGCAAAGCATTAAAAAAGGACTGCTGTTAGAAATTTATGTTCCATTATCTATCTATAAATAGAAGTTGCAAAATTATTGGATAATTTCAAAGCACTATGTACGTTATTACATACATAATATATTTTCATTAAAATGAAAATTTGTAACACGTAAATCATCTTTTATATCTTAATCTATTAACAAATTTGAGTATGTTATTTATTAAAAAAAATATATTACATAAACACCACCTAGACAATACTAGTGCTTCACAAATATTGAATAATTATTAGTACAAGTTGCATTAATTTCAAAGCAAGTGCATTTTGTGTGTCTTAGCATCAAGACTCTATAAAAAACCCATAATCATCAAAAGGGACTACACAAGCTCTTTGAACTTCTGAGCTCTCTCCAGCCCTATCTAAATTTAAACATCTCTCTCTCTCTCTCTCTCTCTCTCTCTCTGAGATAGACATATGGAACCACCAATGACACCAAAGTCACCCCTCCAGCCGCCTACTTATGGAAATCTAATCACAGTTCTGAGTATTGATGGAGGTGGAATAAGGGGGATTATCCCAGGAACAATTCTTGATTTTCTTGAGTCAGAGCTTCAGGTAGATTCAATATTGTTGTTATTTTGCAGTCCATAACTTGTTATCATGCCATGTTCATTATATATTCATTTTTGCTAGCAAATGGTGCTGGAACAATTATAGAATTATCATCTTATGATTCAGATTTATTTTACACATAAATTGTATTTAACACAAATTTCATTTTCACTACACAATCACTTGTCGAGAAATTCTTAATTTGACAATCTCACATCGAAAAATGCAAACAAACTGTAAACGCCTTCACTTCTTATAAATTATCATGCCATCACTTGCCTCATACCGAGCCGCTTCACTTTTCGCGCTGAGCTAGTGAAACAGCTGATTATAAACCCGTATTTACTGTCCGGAGTGATTGCATGGCAGCAACTTGTTGGGTTAAGCGCAGAATTTGTTTACACTACGTTTGGTGGAGGATTCCATTTAGGAATGAATTTGAAAAGAAGGAGAAAAGGTGTGTGAAATCATATGAGCACGGCACTTGTATAATTCTGTTAATCAAGTTTGCTCTCTTCCAAATATCGTTGTATGGCCTGTGAACTAGCCGACGAATATGTGTCGAAAACTCCTCAGATACCTAAGTCAGCAAATAGGATCAATAAAGAGGAAAAGCTCTATAAATTCAAGAGCTAAGATTGCAATACCCGATATTAAGGTAACACTGAGCTTTTACAAGTTTACCATGACAGAGTCCTAGTAGGATTCTACCTGAAATTTGTTTATACTGTGTTTGATTGGTAAATTTAGCAATAGATTTGAAAAATAAAAGGGACAAAAGGGTGTGAAATTAAGTGAAATGTAAACTTTTTTCATTTTCCTTTCTAGATCTCTTTTCAAATCTCACAACCAATTACAAATTTAATCAATTCAGTATTAAATCAGTGAATTCGCAACAATATATTTATCAGCAACCGAAGTGGCTTAATATACTAATTTTTTTTTTGTTTATTGATTTCAAGATTTTATTTTGTGCAAGTTAATTTTCTATTCAAGTGTTTTAGTATCTAAATCCCCAATTGTATGTATCTATAATAATTATTGTGTTAATGTACATAAAAGAGGAAAAAGATGGTGAAATTTATTGTGATAAATATTATTTTTCTTTTTTAAGATGGCAGTGGTAGTTATAATCTTTCATGTGCTAATAACTCCAAAATGGTTTGGTCATGATGCAGAAGTTGGATGGTGAGGATGTAAGGATTGTGGACTATTTTGATGTGATTGCAGGAACAAGCACTGGCGGTCTTGTGACAGCTATGTTAACTGCTCCAAACAATAATAATCGCCCACTGTTTGCAGCTAAAGATATTATAGACTTTTACCTTGATAATTGTCCCAAAATGTTCCCACAAGAGAGGTAATAATTACAAACAATTAAGAATTTTCGTATAAAATTCCATACAAAATATTATATATAACGGTTTTTATCCTTTTATATCAAACTAAAACACATACCAATATTAGTTATAAAAATTATTTTTGTCAATTCTTTTCTTTTTCCATTCAATTATGATGATACTATGTAGTGGGAGTATTAACATGTTAAAACTTTAAAACAAACAGCTCTCTATTTCATCAAGCCACAAAGGTAATCAAAGCCTTATCAGGACCAAAATATGATGGGAAGTACCTCCATGACGTAGTTAAGGAAAAGCTTGGGGAGATAAAACTACATCAGACATTGACTAATGTTGCAATTCCAACTTTCGACATTAAGACACTCCAACCAACCATTTTTTCCACCTATGAGGTATATCATCAATTGTTTATAGCTATGAGAATTTTGATACTGAAATTCAAAGTGATTGTTTGAATTGAACATAGTGCTGATTATTGGCCAAGAATTCTTTATCATTAATTTTAGGGTAAATTACACTGTTAGTCTTTATGCTTTGGTTCTTATGATATTTTGATCCTTCTAATTTCAATTTTGACCCTAAGCTTTTAATTTTATCTCAAATTGGTCCAATTGATAGTATTTTTTTTATTGCAAATGCACACATGAGCTGCACATCATATTTTTAGAAACAAAATTATAAACTTGATCAATTTAGTGATTTAATTTCAACCAATTCAATGAAAATTTTCTGTTAACGGCATTATCAATTGGACCAAATTGAAGCAAAATTTAAAATTAAGAGTTAAAATTGAGTCAATTAAAATTGTAGGAACTAAAATGACACAAGCGATGAACTATAAAAATTATCAGTGTAATTTGCCTTTAATTTTTTCTATTGTTTATCTCCAAATTATGTGAGAATCTAGATGTATATATAAGAATTTCGAAACATAATCCTATAATTATGAATTTTTGAGATGTGAAATATGAGAATTTAAGATAAGAGAAGACATAGAAAGTTGAGACTGAGAATCCCGTGTCCTAATTTCTTATCATAAAATTTATAATTCCTGGTTTAGGTGAACTATAAGCCAACCTTGGACGCCTTACTCTCAGATATATGCATTGCAACCTCGGCAGCGCCAACTTATCTTCCCGCCCATTCTTTCAAAACCAAAGACCCCACTGGAACTGTGAGAGAATTTGACCTAATTGATGGCGGCGTAGCAGCAAATAATCCGGTATTTATCAAATTTGATTAATAATAACTTTCAACTCTTATCTATTTATTTTCTCTGAGCATTTCCACTTATGTAAGTAATTTTATGTTTCAGACTTTGATTGCTATAGGAGAGGTAACGAAGCAAATCATGAGGAAAAGTGCAGACTATTTTGCTATAAAACAAATGGACTATGGTCGGCTTCTAGTAATATCATTAGGGACTGGGACACAAAAAGCTGGGGAGAAATACAGTGCAATTGGAGCAGCTAAATGGGGTTTGATGGGATGGTTAACAAATGGCGGTTCTACCCCTTTAATAGATGTGTTTACTCAAGCCAGTTCTGATATGGTCGACTTCCACCTTAGTGTGGTTTTTCAAGCCCTCCACTCTGAAAAAAATTATCTACGAATTCAGGTAAAAAGGGGAAAAAATTGATGATAAAACAAAAAAACTTTTTGGTGTATTACGATAAATATATTTAAATCATTAATTTGTTTGAGTGGGATCCATACAAATGAATGGGGCCAATGTGTTCGGCACATTGTCACGTCAGTGATACCGTTGATGGCACTACACAATTTTTCACTCATCAACAAAGATTAGAAAATGAAAAATGATTTTTACTGATTTTATCATCAATCTACATATTGACAAGCAACATGTGTATGTATATATCTAGATAATAGTAAGACCCATCATTATATTTAAATCTAAAAAATAAAGTGTCAATATTTTGAAATTATTTAAACTTAATTGGTATGATATGGGTCATATTCAAAATGATTAACATCTATAAGTTTTAATTTCTTCATATTCTTTTGAGTATAGAATATTGCTTCTTTTTTTCCTTTTTTTTTTTTTAATATGATAAATGGCATATGTATATTATTTGTTATGTGAATCCATATAAAATGAAAAAATCCAATGAAATTGATTAGTGATATACAAAAATAGTTCTAAAAAGTTGTTCTTCTCAACCATGCTCATTGACATGGACACAATTGAATCGAAATGCAGGATGACACATTAACTGGGGATGTATGTTCTGTTGATATAGCGACAGAGAAAAATTTAGAAGATCTTGTTAAAGTTGGTGAACGATTACTAAAAAAACCAGTTTCCCGAGTAAATTTGGAGACTGGTCTTGTAGAGCCTTCTGATGAAGAGACTAACGAAGATGCTCTTCGAAGGTATATATACCTCAACATTGAATTTACTCTACATATTTTATCACATAGTTTTGCACAATTATGTTAATAATTAACTACATATATATAATGTTATTATCTTCAGGTTCGCAAAACTGTTGTCCCAAGAGAAGCGACTCCGTGATATCAGATCACCGCATGGACACCCTACAAATCCAAAGGATTTTAAATTAAGTTTGTAATTACAATATATTAATTTCTATCTGTCTCAAAATATCTATAATAATAAATTATGTAAGAATCTTAAGATATGGGAATCTAGATATTTATTCAGTGGTTGTAAAAATTTAGAGGCAAAAAAACAAAAGCATTTATTATCAAGGTAGTATTTGATTTTTCGGAATAAATATGGAATGGAATGGTTATGTTATTCTTAGTCTTCACATTAATTCTTACATTTGGTTCTCCTTTTCACTTTTGAATGGATTGTTTGTCATTAGTTTTAATTTAATTTCTTAACAGATTAGACTAAACATACATAATATAAAAAAAAATTAAACAACAAAATTAATATAATTAAAATTAAAAAAACTAAATCAACACAGAATGCATATTATAAAAACAGCAATGCTAGGTATCATGAAAAACTTTTTATAAAAATAATCATGAAAGCTTTGTGACTCTTGGATTACACTTAGAATAAAGCACCACACACTAATCAAGGTAATCCAAGAATCATAAATCTTTAATGATCATTTTCATGAAAAAAATTTCATGATCTCTAACTTTTCTCTTATAAAACCCGTGATTACAATTTACCCATATATTATTATTCTATTATTTGTTAACATGCATGTTGTTTGATGTTAGAAGCCGGGGTTAATTAACTTACAAAGCCATCCATCTTTTAGACTTCCAAGCTATCTTACAAATTGGTGCATATATATAATTGAAAGAAAAAGATTAAAAAATAAATAAGAAAAAAAAAAGAAGCAAACTTTGGAGTAGCTAAAATGGTGTTACTCATAATTTATCAAGTTTGTCATCCTCAGACTCGAACACAAATCTATACGGCTGCTGCCAATTCATACCCCAACATTTAGATATGAATTATACATATAATAAGAATTTGGAATCCCTATAGTTCCTAACAGTCAAACCAAACTTCGATCATTCATCTTACCTACTTCATCTCCGCATAACTAGCTGTTTTGATATTTGTCATTTTATACAAAAATATATATGTGAGTTAAAAAAAATAAAACACATTTCATATAAAAGAATTATGTCATGTTCTAAGACTGGTGACCATTTTTCAACCTCTTCGACTTTAGCATAAAACATTCATGAATTTCAAAGCATATGAATTGAATATGAGTGATTGTTATCAGAATGCTTTTTTGCGTCATATTGAGAGTACCTAAGATAAGGAGGCTTGTCTTTCGTTCACAAAGTAGACTAGATGGTGTTGTTAACTCTATGGAGTCTATCATAAGTCTTATTTTCATAATTCGAATCATTCAATATGTATAACTCATCGAGTACTTCATCTTTAAAAAAATCATGTTGATCAGATATTGATAGCCTTTTAATTAGATCATATTTTATCAATGGTAAATATGATTTTAAAAGGGTCCAACTTGTCTCATGTTAAGATCAAGACTGGACCCATCTAGTCCTGCCTATGGGCCCATTTTTGGGTCCCGTTTAATAATCTGAACCGTTCAATGTGTAAAAATCGTCAAGTATTACACAGACGTGCTAACTTTACCCTGTGTCAAGCACCTTTGTTGGTATTAGAGCCAAGTTTATTGTTGTTCATATTATGTTATATTATTTTTAAATTATACATATATGGTCCCAATACAAAAACATACTGCACCTACAGAAGAAATAACACCTACAGTAGCCAATACAGTAGCTAATACAGTATCCAACACCATAGCTTCTACATCAGAAGCCAGAGAATTAGTTGCATACTGTAGACGTCCCCAAACGCCCCGGGAGGATGAGTCCCGTTCTGTTCATTTTGGGCTCACTACAGTTCGGACTCTCAAATTGTCACGGTTCTAAATCTGAACCAAAGAGTCCAAATCCGGCAAATCGTTTTGAGAAAATAGATTTTTTAGAAAGAAGTGCCAAACATGGACTGCTTTGCCAGATACAGAGTCGCCACCTAAATATTTTATTTTGGGAGAAATTTAGGAAACCTTGACTCGTTGCCTAAGGCCACGTGTCCGTCATCACCAAAGTTGCCTCGGCTCAGGAACTTGGGTACAATTGGGGAAGGTCACTTCGTGAGCACCCTCACTTGCCCGATTAAAGATCGGTCTCTACTAACCATGATATCTAGTTTTGAAAACATTATGCGTTCTTATTCCGGTTGTTAGCCTAGATTTACTATGTGATGCGCACAACATACAAGTATAGACTGGATCGCCTGAATTGGAACAAAACATTTCATGTTTGTTTATTTTGAAAATGGTTTGATGGTGTTACCCGCAAGTAGGCTAAGACGTGGATTTGCCACCCTCGGGTGGGCTTAAAAAACATGATTTTGCCACTATCTAGTGGGCTTAAAACTCATAGTCAACGAATTGTTCCAATTCAAATAACACAACCTTCACCCACAAGCATTCAGACAGTTATATCATATAAGCACTTAGCCTCATGATAAGCATGCTATCATGGCAGTCACTCACACGCATACAAGGATGCTAAAGCATAAACTCTTACCGAGTACTCCAAGCCAAAACAAAAGCTATGTTAGAAATCCATACATGATCCTAACTATACAGAAATGCCTAATGCAACACATGCAAAAATGCAACTAAGATAGGCTCGGCTATTCTAAAGATGGCATATGAAATGCTACAGCTAACATGTATTCAACTTGGAATTGAAAATACAATGCAGTTAGTATGATGCGCCGAGCCCGGTGCATGCAATATAGATGAATGAATGCAAACATGCTATCATACTGTATGCTAATTGAAACATGCCCTAATCTAACCATCATAAGGTGGTAAATAAAAGGGAGAAAGACGTGGGGTTAGAAGACATACATCACACACACGCACACTTATTACAATATTGCCCTCGCGCAGAGGGTCCGAATAAATAATACAGTTCCAAATAAATAATTACAGTCCAAATAAATACAAAACCCTAATTAATTAACAAATTAATCTAGGAAAGCAGTAAATTGGCACGCAAATACATGGACTGCCTCAGCTCTGTTCCGAATGATGGATGATGCATGCTTGAGTCGCCTTGCACGAGAATCCACTGCGATGCCCTGGTTTGCCTCTATTTGCAATTGTTCTTGGGATGCGTGCCAAGCTCCGAAAGGCTGCCGATTTCTGATTTGCTGTAACAGAGAGCAACAAAGGGGCATGGCAAAGTATTTTCACATATGTATGCATGACTACTCTTCAGGAAGTGTAGTACTCGATCCTCGTACCACCAATCACGCATCTCGATGCATGATGGCTGAGGAGTCGATTTGCACGACTCAATATGAAATGAATGCACATATGGACACAACAAGGCCTAAACTCCATCATGGGTAATCCGGAATGTCGGCGACAGGGAATTGAGACACGTTCCGTCACTCGGAGTACGAAACGTCCCTCATTTCCCGTGCTTGGGCTAACTCATATCCCAAGCACTATGCAATATGCATGACATGCATGAATGCAATCCTAACATGCAACCTAGCATACGCAATGCTATGAAATGGCATACACAATGCATGATGTAACGAAGCATACACAATGCTCTAACATACAACCTAGCATACACAATGCTATGAAATGAAACGGCATACACAATGCATGATGAACTTACATCAACATGAGTGGACCTCAGCCACACTCACATTAGTAGCCATTAGGTGAAAATGGGGCTATCGAGATGCGTGCACACATGCACACAAACCGAGGATTGATCCTAGGCATAACATGCGACTCTAACAAGGCATGGCAAGGGATGCAAGATGGCATACAAACTCACAAATCTCAGCACTGAAATATGATGCTAAATAGCCCCGAAACATGGAAAAATGGCACTCGATGCATGAGATGAACCCCGAAACTCGAAACTAGGCACATGGAATGACTTATAGCTATACAAAGCATGCATTATTTGATCATGAAGTCTAAAGACAGAGCCAAGGCAGTCCCAAAACATGAACATTTCTAGTTCAAAGCATGGCCAAAAGATGCTAACAAGATAGACTAAAGTAGCATGCAACTTTGACTAGCAAACATGAGTTATATGGCAAGTATAGGATGCACATGAAATCTTACCAAACCAGCAAAAATCAGTGAATAAAACATGCCAAAATATGCTCAAATAACCACTAAAATAAAGCCAACACATGCAAAAATGAGGAGCTCCTTTAGAGGGCCATGCAATGGATTATTAAGCACATACAAAGTGGACACTTAGCATGGCATAAGAAACTATGAAAATCAAATATGGTAGTATTAGAACTCACCAAATTGACCCTGGAAAGTGACTTCAAAGCATGCAAGATAGGGTCTCTTTGGAAGGCCAAAAATGACCACCAAACAAGTCAAGGTGAGAGGGGGTCACCCCCCTCTGATTTGGAGGCTCAAAACAGTGTGCTAGCCACTGAAAATCCACTGGACTTCAGTGGCTAGAAGGCCAAACCAAACATGCAACAAGAGCTTAGGTGTAAGGCTCAAAACAAGGGACAATCAAGCATACAAGGAAGCATATGACGTCAAACAAGAAAATGCCCTAATCAAACATGAAGATCGTGTCAAAAGGAGACTTTTTCCAGTTTATAAAAAATCTCAAAAGTGAACACAAATAGGGCTAATCTATTATGAAAAAATGGCCCTAAAAGAGAGATTAGAGACAAGGGACAGCAGCTGGCCCCAAATAGCAAAGATCCCTTCAACAAAGTTGAAGAGGGGCTCAAAAAAAAGGTACTTTACAGTTTATGGAAAATCTCTAATGTGCTCACAAGTAAGGCTAAAATATGATGCAAAAATAGCCCTAAAAGAGAGATAAAGGGAAAGGGGTAGTAGCTGGCCTCAAACAGTGAATATCTCTTCAACAAAGTTGAAGAGGGGCTCAAAATAAGACACTTCACAATTTTTCTCGAAGCCCAGAAATGCTCAAAAACAGGGCTAAAATACCATGCAAGATAAGCCCTAAAAAAGAGATTAAACACAAAGGGTGAGGAGGATACCTCAAACAGAGAAAAGTCCTTGATCAAACATGAATATTAGCTCAAAATAAGACTATTTCTAGTTCAGGTTGGAGCCCAAAAATGTAAGCAACAAAAGCTAAGATAGCATGCGAAATAGGGCAAGAAAAGAGGAAATAGGGACTCACCCTTGTAGCACAGGTTTCCAATAGCTTTTGGTCCAAGAAAGTGAGCTCCTAACCTCTAAA